TCCGCCATGATGGCAGTTGATGTGGTCGGGGTCAAAAAGAGTAGCGACAAGGATCGTCCGCGACAAGGGGTGAGAAAGGACGGGACGCTGTTAGGAAAGGAAACGGATTGGGAGCAATCTAGCGACCAAGATAAAATGAAGAGCGGAGATATAAAGCGACCAGAGAGGTAGGAAGAAGGAAAGCGCGCGTAAGAAGGAGGAGGAGAGAGAAAGCGAGGAAGACGGAGAGAGGAGGAGGAGGATCAAGCACCAGCCACAAGTTCTACTAGTTAGTTTAGCAGCAACAGTAGCAGGAGTAACCAGTTAGTTCACCCAGTTTACAGTAAAGTTACTTCCTTCTCTTTGCTCTTTTCTTTTTCGCCGTGTTCCCGAGCCTCATCCCAAAACGGTTTAGCGCCGTTCCTGCAATTCTCAACGCGGACAATCCAAAGAATCACCACCAGCTCGAGTTATCCGGAGAGAAAAGAAGCCCCCATCCATCCCATCTCCCCCTTCCTCACCAATTCACAGGAGAGGCAATCGGGAAACAACAGCCAAAAATGGCCACCACACAATCCAGCAGCTTGGTATCCAAGCTCCCCATCCGCCTCCGCAACTTCTTCGCGCGCTATCCTCCGCAAATCTATTCCGCAGCCGCAGCACCACGCCCCGAAGCCCCCGAAACTGGTGCCCCCGTCAACGTCAACGTCGAGGATCTTCCCTCTCCTTACACGCCCAACCGTGATGCCAAGGGCTTCAAGCGTCCCGATCCTAAGGCATTCTCTCCCTCCAAGGCCATCCTGCACTCCGACTCCAAGCACCCCAACCCGTTCCTGCCGCGCAAGAACTTCCGCACCGGCAAGTGGTTCGGACCCCGGATTGGACTGCGTCGCCAGGCGGAGCTGGTGAAGTTGGCGATCAAGTACAACGTTGAGGCTTTGTTGCCGCCTGGCCGCAAGTCGACGGAGTTCAAGGAGACGAGACGTGCGGAGCGTGGTTTGGCTATTAAGGGTACTGGTATCGGACAGAAGGTCAAGGGTCACAAGTGGGAGAGGACGATGGAGGCTCGTCTGGAGGACAGACGCAAGGCTATGATGGAGATGCCGGAGATGATCCGTTTGTGGAAGCAGGTTAGTATTCCCCTTCTCTCTATCTATTTCTTCTCGTTAGGTGTGAAGATTGGTGCGCTGACTCGGTATTACTTCACTTTACAGAGAGGTCACGGTCGTGGCTGGAAGTCGTGGCCCAAGCGGTAAAGGCTTACGCTTCTGGATGTATTATCTTCTGTTTTTCGCCTCGGGTGGACTGGATCCGAGGCTTCCATAATGTCGCATCTGTCCTATTTTATACATCTCGCCGAGCCGGAACCATCTATTCGTCTATCCAGCTCGGGGAGAGTTTCGATTGAATCATTGTTGTCGGGGTTCGGCACGGGAGTTTGTCCTCTTATGTATTTTTTGTACAAATAGCTTGTTTCTCAAAATCATGCACATTGAATGTCTGCGTGAATGGAAATGGTATCAATAGAATGTTGAATGCAAACAAACCATTCAAAGGAGGTTTCCACCTTATTTACGATGTCACACGTGCTATAACTAGTGGTATTCCAATTTGATACATGCTCCAATGCAATGCAATGCTTATCCACAGCCTATAAGTAGATCATAATTCATCAATCATGGTTCATAGTAAGATGGTGTGACAACATCCCCCACCATCACTGTCCTTGACTTAGTGCTATTCCCATCGTCAGAAGAAATCGCTAAATGCCGCCCAAAGTAAATCTTATTCCCACTCTTCCTCGTTTTCGCCAATGTCGAATATGGTTCCTCACCACGCACACCAGTAAGCTGATCAATACAGACCATCTGGCACCGCTGACAAGATCCAAGCACATTAAACTGAAGATTTTCGGGCCCGATGTGCAAACTCTCCCAGTGGTCTTCGATATACGGTCGTCCCGCACTCACCGGCTGTGGGAAATCCTCCGCAACGACGATGTTGGCACGGAATACATCGGCAGCTACAGCTTTCTTGCGTCCAGTACTGTTTGTGGTCGTAGGACTGCTTTTGATACTTTCGTTAAGACGATTCACGGATGAGCGGGAGATGAGCAGGATTGGACTCTCGTTTGATAAAAGAATGGGATTTCGTTCTGCCTCAGGGATCGGGGTGTCTTGGGGGAATGCGCCTGGCATAGCTTGTCCAAGTGGTGATCTCCTGCTACCAGCACCACGTCTGGGCTCGGCAAGTCTGGTGGAAGATTGAGGTGGGAATCTCGCAAGTGTGCATGGTACGCCAAGGAAATCGGAGAAAAAGGCGGACACCGTGGGAGATGAATATGCTTGCACAATAACCTGGTCTCCGCAGACGGTAGAAGGTTTCGAGCTATTCTGGCATAAAGAGGTGGTCGTGAGGTTGCTATTCTCGCGATCCAGAGGGATCTCAAGCGTTTTCTGGTTTGGAGAATGTATAGATCCACAGGTAACGCGCAGGACACCTTGACTGAGATCCACGAATGGCCGTATCAGAGCCATGCGAGGATACCTCTTCTGATTAAGAGCTGTACCTGTGCCTTGGTGGATCAAGCACCATTCGCGATCCCATGCCAGACCTTCTCGCCGGATTTCCCAGCGCTTGCCGTCGGGTACCTTAAATGCACCACAACTCTTGATGGGATACACGGACAGACTCTCGACATGGAAACCGGACCGGTGAGTAAGGTTGGCTTCTGGTGGTGGCAGCAACGCACACATAGTTGGGCTTTTCTCGACGTAAAATTCCTCGATGAAAGCCATAAAAGTGTCAATATCGGCCATATTGCTCATCGCACCGAGGCTTGCTCTCAGAATCCCAGTAGGTCGTCCGTCCATGATATCATGGTCATCGCCACAACGCATACCTGCTCCAAAATGTCGAAGCATGTCTGCTCCAGTCCAGTTAAGGCTGGCCGCTGTGCCTCCCGGATTGCATAGCGTTCCAGATCTAATTTGTATGTTCCTGACGCTGGCCAGTTTCTCCACTTCGGATTTACCAATCCAGGCACCTTGACTGCTTCGCAGATTGAATGCCAAGATTGGGCCCTGCGAGGAAGGATCGGTATAGTCAGTGTGTGATGGCTTGTACACATGGCAAGCTCTCTCCCCGTTATGATGTCTCAAGGAAATCATGCGATCATATAATCGCTTCGCTAGGAAACGGGTGTGCGAAGAAATATTATCCATAGATCCAAAAAGGCGCTCATGCGTATCAAATGCGGAGCCCAATGCGATTATATTATGAAACGGAAGCGTCCCGTCTTCCAGTTGTTCATGAATCGAAGATTGCTTCTTCGCATGCCATTTTGTCCCCTGTGTTAAAACCATATCTACAGTTCCCCCACCGAAGAACTTCCGCTTGTCGAAGATGTGACCAGCACTCTTGCGAACAATCAATGCACCGAGGTCCGGAAATCCGAAGATCTTGTAAAAGCTGAGAACGGCAAAGTCAGGTGCAGCGGAAGCATCACTTAGGTCAAGGGGGGATGTCGACACAAGCGATGCGACATCAAGAAGCGTATAAGTGTCTTTAGCTGACTCCCGTATCCTCCCGCACCATTCACGAGGAAAGCGCCGGCCGTTCATATTTGACTGTGCAGGGTATGCAAACAGTCGAGGACCTTGCACCGGTTCTGTACTCAGTTGAGAAATCCAGCTCTCAACCTCTGCGTCCGTCACGAAGCACCTGCTCCCAGTGCTTGCAAGCTCTCGCGCCCCGACCAGGCTCGTATGCGATTCCATATGGTATCCATACCAGAACCCTTGCGGCGTTGAGTCGCGGAGAGAATCGACAACCAATTTAGTTGCGGCCGTAGCGTTCGCCACAAAAACGAGATCAAACTCCTCCGGATCAGCATTGAAGAAACGAAGGGCCCGTAGACGGATATCATTCACGCGTTGAGTCGATAGCTGTGAGGGTGCGGACATGGAATGGGGATTCCCGTAGAGGTTCGACGTAAGGTCTCGGGAGAACGATTCAATCAAGGACTTCGCGTAAAGCGTGGTACCTGCATGGTCAAGATATGTCGTGTCTAATTTCAATATGATATGAATGAGCTTCCATTCATCTATGGTTCAAAACGCATAGAAGCAACCCAGCACGCGACCTACCTTTGAGCAAGGGATATTCACGTTCCCGGATGACGTCCACATCATCCGGGTACTGGCATTTGCCCCTGTCTGTCATCCTGGTGGTCCGTTCCAGACGACATTAATTGCAAGTTAATGGTAAATTATGGTTGTGGTGTGGTGAAGGTCGAGTGTCGCATTGCTGGCAGGGGTCGAGAGTGAGGTGGCGACCGCTGATTCACTGCATATGGAATGCTCCCTGAACCACAGATGGATATGTAAAGTCCGCTAAGCACACGAGCATCCAATAAGGCTTTTGACCTAAGTAGGAATAGAGTTGTCAATCACTGTGCAAGTAGGCTAAAATATATACCGTGTAGTGGTGGAGGTATGAATAGAAATAAAGAGTAGAAAGTACTAACTTAGTCTCTTTGCCGATAAGGCTAATCGATCGGAGCTTACCGATGACGAACTTTGCCGACGGCTAGCCGCGGACCATCTTCAACGCTGAAACTTGAGTCTCTGCTGGCAACGAGAGAGCAGAATATAATTGAATTGAAGAGTAGCATTCGGGTCAAGGATACGTGGCATACATAAATCTTCTGGAAAGAACAGCTACCTGCAAAACAGCCTGAGCGTGTTCAGCCCGACCAGCACGTCGAAGCTTCCCCACTTTTGCGCTGCTTATCGAGAGCGGGGAGCGGCCAGGTCCGAAGATCAGTGGGATTCACTTTCTGCAGTAATGACCCTTCTCAAAAGTGGTGGTGGGAGAGATCCATTACGAACTTGTATGTAAAGAATATCAACCTGTTATTTTACTAGGCTGTCTTCTCATACTAAGATAACTTACAATATCACAACTTCACATTAATGGCCAGAGAATCATGTAGGGGTCTACTTAACGAGCAAGTAGTTCTTGCGTAAACATAGCTCACATATCTTATAGGGATTGACAAAAATGAGAAAGCTAAAACAATAGCATTTTCAGAAAGCATCAAATGCCGTACAAAATGGACAAGGAACTTTGTCAAATCGAAACATTATCATCATATATGGAGCAGTAACAATCAAAGATCATCAATGGTTGATTGCTAAGACTCATGCTGTCGGTATGCCTTCCCTCGTTACTTCGTTTGTTTCATCTTTTTTTTTTCTGTGTATCGTTCGTTTCGCGTTATCCATTCCAATCATTAATGCGTATCATCCCATCATATCTGTTGCTTGGCATGCAAAATGTTTTATACCACATACTGCTGCCGCCGACCCGAGCTGCTGTGGCGCCGGTGACCACGTCGACTGCTGTGACTCCTGCGACGGACAGTGGTCTCCTTGACAACAACTTCCGGACGCTTGTAGATAGCGAGAGCAAGGATAGCCGTCCAGAGGAAGAAGACAACTTCAATGATCCCCAGTGCAAAGCTGGCCTTCAGCATCGCGCAAGTCTTGTCAATGTGGAAGGACAGCGGATTATCGGTCCTGTAGCCGTAGTATCCGAAGGGGCCCAAGGAAATGTACACCGAACCACCATCCCAATGAGAGCAACTGGCCCCTGCAATAAATCGCAGCTCATAGACACCCGCAATGAAAGCACCGAAGAAGAGGAGGTCGATGAAAGCGACAAACATGGCGGAGCGCTTGGTGGTCGAAAAGCGGATCAGGGTATCGAGGCACCAGAAAGCTGCAATGACGCTGACGATGAAGAGAACGAGAATGTAGGCAGGGGTAATTTGGTTCGCATTGAGGTAGCCATTGACGAAGTATGCCTAGATCGGTGCTGTTAGACATGACCGTCCGGGGATTGGGTTAGGGTTGGAATGCACATACCATCATTCCGATGATCGGAATCAGGAAGACAAGCTCCAGAATGCGGTTGCAGATGAAGAATATACTGCCAATCATTTTGTCGGATGTGCGCAGATTGCGAATGGACCTTCTCACAGTGTAATTGAAATACTAGGATCAGATGCTCAGAAGCGTGAATAAGAGTAGGAGTCTGGGCTGAACGTGGCGGCCACTACAACGTCATCACACGCGGCACGTTAACCGACGAGACGATGTTTTCACGACACAATCTAGCTGTTCGGCGTACTGAGTGAAGCACCCGTGTTGAGAGAGATTCTGGTGGTTGCGCCGGACAACGTATAGAGGAGAACTGGTTAGGTGCCGATCAGATGCAGCCCAAATCAAAGGCACGAGCCCAGCCGTTACGTGCTAGAGAAAGCAAGGTACAGGTGATGCATCCAGCCCAAGGCAGTATGGAGATGAGATGCAGAAGAGAAAAGAAAGAGGAACCGGACGGGGATGAATATGCGAGTCGGAGAAAGACAGAGGAGGCTGGGCGATTCAGGCGGCGGGGTGGCTGGGATCCCAGCGTGAAAACAAGGTTCTATTGCCCGACCTTGAAACAGCGAGATTCAATAGGTGTTTCATCAATTACTTTATGAGTCGGATCGAGTTACCAGAATCGATAATTCTACACCAATCAATACAAAGGGTATACAATTCTTTTTCTCAATATACAATCGTTGGTGATTATTGTTCGGTGTTTACCGCCATCCTTGCCTTTTGGAGGGCCGTTGCCATAGCTGAGCCGTGGGTGGGGCTGGCCGGCCCACGAGGTGCTCGAGCCACGGTTGAGCGCCGGTCTAGCCCAGGAACGCTTTCTGCCTCTTGTGTGGCAGGGTCCCAGATTGACCAAGAAAGTATCCAGGACTATGTATATCTGATGCAAGGAGGGTGAGATGGAGAGCTGTTGCGGTCTCTCCTCCTCCACACTGTAGTAGGAATATGGTCGACTTTCGCCCTCTCGGTACCATACCAGATACAATTTCCACATCTTTAAATGCGACCAAGTATGTCTATGAAATGGCAAAAAATACACCCATAATCAATCTACAAAAACTGAGATTTTATACTTCCCGATACGGCATATCTGTTAGGTCCCGTCCCCTGTCCGCATGAGTCGGGAGCGCGCCCGAGGTTTCGTGGGTACTGGTGGTTCCAAGTACAACCTGTGGGGTCTGGGAGTGGTACGCCGTATCAACATCGAGTCGCGCCGTTGGTCCGTTCAACGCTGGGTTTTGCGTCCGGGCATAGCCAGATTGCATCTCATATCCACCAGCAACATCCTCACTGGAGGATGACCAGTTGTCGTCTTCATCACGTCTTGAGTAGCCGTACATGTTCGTAGTGTACGGATTAGATTCCGGTAGGTACAAGGGCCTACCAGCATCACTTCCGGTCGTCTTCGACTGAGGAGGTTCGTTCAATCGCTCCTCCTCCGGGTTCCTTAGAGCGGCAGTGCTTCCATCAGCAGCCACCAGGCGGACAGTCTCGGCAGGTCCCACGGGATCCCTGCCCCACGTCCGGATGGGATAGGCGCGTCCTTTCTTCCAGGGCTCGTTGAGGGAAGGGAAATATTGACGGTACGAGATGTAGGCACAGATAATACCTAGGAGCGATCCGGTGATGACGTCGAATGGATGATGCCTTGCATCCATAATCCGGCTCACCGCAACAAGCGTTGCTGCGAGAGACGGTATCATGACCAAGAGTGTCTTCCAGGCCTCGCCGCGGTTGTCCATTATGTGCAGCTTGCCACTAAGCCAAAGCGTGAGATAGAATAACCCGGCAAACGACGCTGTAAACATTATATTAGTTCTCAATGCGCGTTTGTGACAACTCAGGTGGATCTCTCACAGCTACTATGTCCTATAATGACGAATTAGCATATGAAACGAATCCAGTATCTTTGAAGTGCTGTCCAACCTGAAGGCCATGACCGGAAGCCGTCTTTGATGAGCGCATGTTCACCGGTACAGATAGTGGAATTCGACAGTCCGGGTATCGCGTCCTGACTACCCGCTCGGGGCTGGCACCGATCAATGAAGTCAGGCCTAGGCTTTCCACAAGCATTTTTCAACACCTGCGTGATGACAAAGGCCAGCCCTTGTGAGAGCAAGAGCCCCAGAATACCGCAGTTGAGCTCCCATAGCCGATCTTTCCATCTATATGGACCGGTGAATTTGCGCTTCCCCGAGACTGGATGCTGCGTCTTGTGGTGCGAGAAAAGCCCGTCGATGAATAGCGTATAGACGATAATGATGACGAGGGGTGCCAGGCCAGAGATACAGAGGGCTTCCTGAATGGTTATCCGCTCGTGGACTGCATATGGGTACTGAATTGAGATGTTTCGTAACGAGAAGTGCTGATGATATGGTTCAATGGAATCAAGAACGTAGAAGCCTCCAATGCACGCACTATTGCAGCAATTATTAGCAAATGCCGCCGATGATCCGCCAACAGGTAGAACTAACATTAGGATAACATAGTCAAAGATATATCTGCCATGAGCGACACATGTTAGCGATGAGGAGCACTTTCCTCCCCTTAGAATTGAATCCTCACGATAAGATGACTCGCTGCTTCAGGCGCCGCTTAGAGAAAGGCAGCTTTTCGGGTAGACGGTCCATCGGATGAGGATCCACTTGGTTTTAAGACACAATGCAATAAGTGAGGGGCTCAATTCTCCTTGTTCACAGCTCGGATATATAAAAACCTGGCCAGTGTTCAAAGCATTTATTTTCCTTGAAATAGAGCAGCCTAATGCGACCGGTGTACGCGTGAGATTGGGAGCACGTGAGGGAGTCTGTCGACAGCTGAAGTGTCAACTGAGATCTGCCCAGCGGCGAAAGGCCAGCAATAAAAGAATTCGGAGAAGGCTGAGTCCCTGATTTGTGACCTGCCAATGAGAATGAGACGGAGACAAAGCATGGGGCTGTGGGCGACTAAATATGGGGGAAGTCTGAATACTCGTTGCCTGCAGCTCTTTCGCCGACCCACTCGCCCAGAGTACATCGGCTCGACCACGGCTCGGTCAACCGCTGGCTGCCTCGTCTCCATGGAAGACCCCAGTATGGGCCATTTACCCTTGTTGGTCGTATAGCATAGCCTGAAGGGAAGCCAGGATAGCGGTAGATACCATCATAGATGCAAAATGTCATTGATTACCGAGTAGCTGGGCCGGGAATGCAATTAGGCACGGAGTGTCATTGACAGATGATGGACCGTGTTAAGTGAACAGACCCTGCTTGATCGACATTCGGGCGGTTAACTTTGGCTCGGTATGGCCGCTGTTATGATACAACAATATAAGGGGTGGATCCCTTGGACAGCCTGTAACGCTCTTTCTGTCATTTTCACATCGTATGCTTATGTAATGTATGGATGTCGATCCTATAGCCATTGAATCGCCAACTTTTAGCACACCAGAATGGGAAGTTTGGATGATCTTCGCTGATATTCTATTTGTATTAGCCCTTTTAGGTTAGGACTCCATCGAAGTTAGTACTATGGAGTACATTGGTCACTGATACTATTTGGTTTAGTCAAATGCGGCCTGTCGTGACTGCTTTGAAATAGTATAAATTTAGACGGTACCATCACTATAGTCCGTCTCTACAACAACTCCGACTCAACTGTCAACTGTCAACTATTTACAAGAATATGTTACTAGTACCGCTATGATCTAGCAGAATAGTACTATGACTGTCATTTTATCTTCCTATACAAATGAATGTTGGGTGGCTACTAGCTTTGAATACTGTTACACTACACTACAAATAACAAGAATTTCCCTCTCTGCGGCGTCTACCACCCAAACTCCACAAAATGCCCTTCATCCTCCACAACCTTCCCAAAGTTCTTCTGGAGACCCTCTGTTGCCGCGCGGACAATCGGTTGTGCCCCCTCCTCAGCAGACTTGGCACCACGGCCTGCCCCAAAGTCCTTTCGACAGTAACCCGGGCAAACCACGATTGAGAGAATGTTCTCCTTCTGCAGGCGCACCGCATCCACCGCATTGATCATGTTAAGGGCGGTTTTACTGCTTCAGTAGGCTGGCAGCTCCCAGATCTTAGCATTATACTCCGAGGTAGGCGAGTAGGTTATCCCAATCTGCCCGAGGCCGCTGGTCACGTCGCCGATGCGCAGATCAGAATACTTGGAAGCACGGAGAAGAGGAAGAAAGGCATCCATTACAACCACCACCCCGAAGACGTTGGTCTCTAAGCACTGCGCGGTAGGTCTCACGCAGCGTGGCGTTGGGATCAGATGATCAATTGATGCCGTCATTATTGACAAAAATGTCGAGTGAACCGAACCGTTCCTGAATGAAGGCGGCGGCAAGCTTGATGGATTCGTCGATGTTGAGGTCTAGTATCACTGGTGTCAAGTCGTTGGAGGCACTGCCTAGTTTCTCAATAGCTTCCTCGACTGTCTTTTGCGTCCGAGCGCCAATGAGGTGGCGGTATTTGCCGGTGCTGGCAAGCTGTTTGGCTGTGGCATACCCTAAACCCTGGTTGGCACCGGTGATCAAGATCAATGGCTTCATGAGAGTTATGGCGAAGAGTGTGTAATGAAGAATGTATAACGAGATTTGCGGACTCAGGTGATCTGAAGACGAGGTACTAGAATAGGAGCAAGCCATCAATTGACTGCAATTATATCTACCCGAAGGCCTGGATTTAATCGGAGTTGAGATGTACCCAACACCTGGACTAAACCGGACTTTATTATGACTGACATTAGAGATACTTCTTCGCAGGTCATCATGAAGAACATATTATCAAATTGATATAATGAATGACACTTCATCTGGGCTTCTAACCCCTAATGCCGAGTTAGCAAAATGGTTCATTACCTTCCCTCTCTTCCATACAGTCAGCAATACATCATTTCCAGTCACCAAAGTATACTGCTGCTAACCCTTGGTTCATGGACAGCCTTTTGTTCTTCGTGAAGCAACACCCATAAGCTGGTACTGCCTACACAGTATCACAATGTAAACAGTAAGCATGCAAGCTCAATTGCCCACCAGCATCGTTCCTTCGGTTTTGGAAAATCGCCTGCTGCTGATGGATGGAAAAATTGATAACATTCATCCTCACCCATAGATGGGACATACTTCTTGTCTAGCTCGAGTCCAAGCCTGCATCGTTGACTGGAACGGAACAATTTTGATGTTAAGCTCCATTGGGTTCACGTCTTCGTCACGGTGTGTCCTATTATGCTGAAATATATAATGCCGCACGACACTGTTTCTCATAAGTACCGAAGATATGGGAAAAAGCCTCATAAAATTGACATCGTCCGTTCATTGCTGGTCGGCTAACGGATATTCTCAGTAGTCTCCGTCGACGGCAGAGTGTCTATCAGTACTGCTAGCCATATTAACCGCAGATTATTGTCTTTATGAAAGGGGACATCCTGCCCCCTTGTGCGAATACTATCAGCATCAGCCTTGAGGTACCTCATACCCAATTGAAGGTGGTGGGTGTAATGGTTTGTCCAATTGTTTGTCTCGCTGCAAGTGCTCTTGAGATGCAGCAGCAAGACGTGTTGATAGTATGGGCATACGAGAGTAAATTCATCAAACCATGGAATGAACCACCTTTGGGTGTTGTCCAGATTGTGGTGAGCTCCGTTCATGCTAGCAGATCCAATCATTGTTTGTGCCGACCTACTCCGTAGCGCTGCGTACTAAATGTTAGAATCCCGGTGGGGTTTACGTGTACTTCGCCCTATTGTTGGGCGCCAACTCATACATGAAGCACTAGGAACAACTCGGAAAAACGGAAAATTACTAGTCTCTCAGCCCTGAGACCTAGAGCTGAGAAAAAGCAAATATTCTTTGTTGGCTTAAAGATGCTTGCTCATCCCCCGACCGGCGCTTTTCGCTCGAGTAAACACGCATAGAACCCCGCGCACCATGGGTTGTCCCAAGCTACGAAATCCCTTTCGAAAGAGGCGCCCCAAACAACAGCCTCGGGAGGAAACCACGAATCTATCAAACATTCCACCACAAATATCGTTTAATGCTCTTTCTGGTACCTGTTCGACGCTGGAGCCAGTGGCTCAACCGGAACCTAAATCAGATGCCTTGCCAGCAGAGGATAAACAGGTTCAATTGAGCTCGGACACCATCCTGCCTCACCTCAACAGGAAGACTGAGAAACGGAATCTCTGGCAAGAAGCATACAACACGTTGGATGAGAAGCAGCGCCAGAATATAACGCCGTTGAAGAAGAACGATCAGAACGGCGACAATCACGATGACGATGCAACCCCTGTGCGCAAAACACTAGATGATGTAATTCAAACCGTCAAAGCACAATACGAAATAAGGATGTCGAAAAGAGGAGACTCACGACTTCGGGATGCTGCAAACAAAATCTTGACAGCCACGTTGAGCTGCAAGGATATTATCAGTGCAATCGTGGCATTCGACCCCACTGCCCACGCGTCAAGTGCCTGGACAGTCGTCTCCCTGGGGTTGACGGTATGTTTGACATCATTGTCTCTACAAAGCTCACTTGCCCTAACATAGTCTTGGTAGATGACACAGAATTATCGTGTTCAACAGATGGCTTGGTTTCAGTCATCTGCCATCTTGACTGACATCCTAGCTCGGTTTGCCTTTGTAGAGAAACTTTACCGCGACGAGAGATCTGAGCTGAATGAAAAGATTGAGGATGCCATCGTGAGGGTCTATATGGCTGTTCTAAAATATGCAGCGGAGGCAATGAACATTTATCGTTCAAATACAGGAAAGAGACTGATGCATAGTGTGATGGACCTGGCAAACCTGCCCCTGACAGAAATTCAGTCCTCGATTGACACAGAGGAAACGCAGCTGGGAAAGTGGTTGCAAATGTTTCAAGAAATGCAGCGGAAACAAGAAGCAGATAATATTCTGCTTGGAGTTGATCGGATCCTTGACGGTATCCGGGGTATTGACCAGAAGATCGATCTCGCCAAGCTGCCGATAGCTGAAGGTGCTAATTTTGATTCCGATATGGATGAGGCCCACGAATGTCTGGAAGGTACAAGAGTTGAGCTTCTTGATGAGATCATGGATTGGGTCGATGATCCTCAGGGGAAGACTATCTTTTGGTTGAGGGGTGTAGCCGGAACTGGTAAATCAACAATCTCCCGGACAGTGGCGCGAAAGCTGCAAGAGAGGGAGCTTCTAGGGGCAAGCTTCTTTTTCAAAAGAGGGGAGGGTGATCGTGGGAAAGCCTTGCGGTTCATCACCACTATCGCAATGCAATTCATGATCGCCCTTCGCCAATTGAGGACAAAGATTGCCACTGTCATTGACAATGACTTGACGATAATCTCCAAGTCAGTTAAGGAACAATTTGATCATCTGTTGTTAAGGCCACTTTTGAGTATGGAATTGAGCAATGGACAGCGCCTACCGCTTGTCGTTGTGGTCGATGCCCTGGATGAGTGTGAGGAGCGAAGCATTGAGACGATCATTCGACTTCTTCCTCGGGTGCAAGAATCGAAAACGATACAATTGAAGGTCTTCATCACCAGCCGACCCGAACACCCAATTTTTGAGGGCTTTGAGCAGATAGAAGGTGAACACAAAGATGTCGTTCTCCATGAAATTCAACGTCCTACAATCAAGCACGATATGGCTCTATTCTTTGAGGACCGTTTATCGAAAGTCCGAAAGAACAAGAATCTCGAAGATAAATGGCCTGGAGAAACCAAGACACAAGCTCTGATCGACATGGCAATACCGCTTTTCATCTTCGCTGAAACTGTCTGTCGCTTATTAGGGGACTACCGATGGGATCCAGACAACAGCTTGAACGACATATTGAAACGTCAATACAACAACTCTAACCTGGATAAAACTTACTTGCCTGTTTTAGACAAACTCCTCGAAGGACAGGATCGACGAGCTCAGAATGAATTGGTCAAGCAATTCCGCCAGGTGGTTGGGGCAATCGTTGCTCTCGAAAGCCCACTTTCCATTGCTTCGCTTTCAAAGCTGATAAATATGAAAGAGAGCCTAATTCGCACCAGACTAGACTCACTTCATTCAGTCCTGAGCATTCCAAAGGACAAGAACAGACCAGTCAGAATGTTCCATCTTTCTTTCCGTGAATTCCTACTTCATCCAGAGACAAAAGAGAAAACAAAATTATCAGTGGACGGGCAGTCAACGCATCGCGATTTGGTTCATAAGTGCATTGCAGTCATGATGGATCCCCAACATGGACTTCGACAGGACATCTGTGACCTGCGCAAACATGGAACCTTTAGAGATGATATTACCACGAAGCAAATTGAAGGGTGTTTTCCAGCAGAACTTCGCTACTCTAGCCGATATTGGGTTCATCATCTTCACCAGGGAGCTCTGATTCTTTCTGATCACGACGAAATACATGAATTTCTCAAAAAGCATTTTCTTCACTGGCTGGAAGCAATGAGTATCTTAGGACATCTACCAGAAACAATAGGCAGTGTCAATATGTTACTCTCGATTGTACAGGTACGCGTCATTATCTCTATTAGCGAGCCGAACTTACTGAATGTTCACAATATACAGACGTCACACTCAGATCGAATATCAAGATTTCTTTACGATGCAAAGCGATTTACTCTAAAGAATATCCAGATCGCCAAAGAATATCCGCTACAGCTATATTCCTCCGCATTGCTATTCGCACCAGAAAAATGTACGATCAGAAACACGTTTTTCCACTATGTCTCACCATATTTCTCTCAACTACCCAGAGTGCCTGAGTATTGGGGTGCTGAATTACAAATACTCGAGGTTGGAGCTGAGTATATAGAATGCTTGGAATTTTCTCCTGATGGACAATTGCTCCTCACAGATACTACTAATGGACTAAGGCTGTGGGAAGCCAGTACTGGTGACTTACGACATACGCTTGAGGAATCGACTCATGTCAGGGATGCGACTAAAATAGGCGCATTTTCACCAGATGGAAAGTTAGTGGCTTGGTCATCCTGGAACAGCGGCACAATACTATTGTGGGACTCTCTTTCTGGTACTTTGAGACATACCCTGAAAGGAGAACATGGTGTTATTGCGATAGTGTTCTTATCAAATGAGCAATTGGTTTCGGCATCCCTTGACGGAAAATTGACAACATGGAGCACAATATCCGGAGAGCTACAGCAAAGTGTACGCTTGGAGTATGAAGAAGAAGAGACTTCCTCTGAACTTCTTTTGGCCGAGCTCCCGCACGACGGTGGTTTACTGGTCCGCGCAATGGAGAATGGCACAATAGAGCTCTGGGATACTGTCAATTTCGAACTACGACATACACTCAAAAGCCACGGCGGAATGATTGGATCAATAGCAGTCTCACCAGATGGGATATTCCTAGCCTTAGGATCAGGGAATGGTATATTGGAGTTTTGGGACATATGTAAAGGAACCGTGCATAATACTCTACAGTGCCATGCCAATGATTGCTCTATTCATTCTGTGGATTTCTCTCATGATGGGAGATATCTGACTTTAGGTTGTGCGCAAGGGCTGACCATCTGGGACATATGCCATAGCCCCATATTATCCACCTTTGCTAGCCGCAAAACGAGTGTTGAACTAGTCAGATTCTCACCAGACAACAAGATTGTGGCTTCCGCGGCTGGTGGTGAGGTGACTCTCTGGGATACCACTCGTTGTGAAGTTCAGCATGCTCAACAAGGACAAACAGGGCCAGTAGAAGCAGTACAACCCTCGCCAACGGGAGCGTTTCTGGCTAGTAGCTCCGAGGATAACACAGTGAGGCTCTGGAACATTCTCACGGGCACAGTGCAACACGTACTACAAGGTCACTCAGATGCATCTTTGAGAATCTCCATCTCCCCAAAGGGCCACCTGTTAGCTGTGTCCTCGATGGACGGACCAATTAAGATATGGGACGTATCAAATGGAACCTTGCAGCATAACTTATCGTCGAACTGTTCTGGTATCACGAACTGCATGTTGTTCTCACCGGATGAGAACTTGCTTTTGGTTATTTGGGATCACAGAATGTGCTTATGGGATGCGGTTACGGGCACATGCAAGTGGACCGTGGAGCCGAAGAGACAGGGCTCGTCCATATTTGATGTGACAGATTCCCCAAACTGTCTATCATTTTTTGAACATGTTTATACAGTAGCTTTCTCATCATCTGGAAACCTCCTGGCTACCGGTCATATGCTTGATAAAACGGTGAGGCTGTGGGATACGGAGACAGGCATGAAGGAACATATCTTTACCGACTGCTCTACAGATCAGTTGCAATTCTCACCGGATGGCAAGCTGTTGGCGGCGGGCTCTGTTAGCATCGGAGTCCAAGTGTGGAATGTTTCCGATGGCAATTTGCGGCAGACCTTGGAGGAAGAGGACGGGCCGTCATGGTTCAAGGAAGCCAAGAAGAGCGACGGATATTCGTGGCTTTTCGACACCAACCTGAATGAATACAGGATTCATCCAAAGTCCCAGGGCAACATCATATCGGTGACTTATGATTGGATAGGCCTCGGTAAAGATAGGTTCTTACGGATTCCACCTCAATATCAGGGATATTGGAGCGCAAAAGAAGTTATTGGGAATACGGTTGTTTTGGGACAGTTGACAGGTGATGTAATTTTTATAGGCATTTGCCCCGAGAAGGTTAGGGAGGCTTGGAGCTAACTACCTCACTCTACATTCATTCATGCCTGTGGTTTTGTGTTCTGCTTTCTTTGTCGTTTGCCATTTGAGAAGATTTTCGCTTCATATACATGTATAGAAATCGTCAGTTCAGTTGAATTCGAGCATTTATCTCACTAGCATCATTATCCACATATTACATTTATAAGACATGTCCATCTTTGCGGATAGTCATAACGTCTACGTTGATTAGCCCTCATTATCCTAGTCACATGTATAGCCTGCACCAATGGATCTACTCACAAAATATGAACTTTCAGAATGAAGAATTTCCTTGAAACGTACACAAAGGATCCTAAAGACTGTACCAAACACAATATCTGAGGATTAAATGAACATCCAAATGGTCTTTTTCCCATTTGTAATATTTCTAGCATAGACGGCGGCTAACGATATGATAACCCATCAACTTAACAAGGCTGTCTCCTCCCTCATTCAAGCGTCGATTGGCCACAACAAAGCAAGGATTACAATCCAACCAAAAAGGCGGCGCAGCATCATGCAGCTACAGCGGGCTATGCTTCTCGCACCCCGCACTTGAGAACAGAGATCGACTTAATATATGAGCTTCCCTATTCCACATATCCAAGTATTCAACAACCCCATCAACCCACAGAGAATGCTACTACCACCATGACCACCACACTCTGGGACCCAGACCGCATCCTCCAAATTACCAAAGGCCCTCACGATCAAGGAATGTTCTGTCTTGGTCGCGCACGTTCCAGATACGATAGTCGCTGTCGCTGGGACATCCCCTATTCAGACTACCAGATTATCCGGGAAACGTTAAGCCAGCTGGCCAGGAAACTGCCACACGAGATATCAGACGACGAGCTGAAAGATATTGCTGAGCGGGGATTATGCGATTATCATTGTGGCCAGGTGCACGAGGTCGTGTCCGGATGGCATGATACTCTTGCCAGTCTTCAAAATTTGTACTGGCCGTATAAAGAGCGGAAGGGGACGAGGCATCCATTATACCAGGTACTTCATGACGAGATCAAGAAATCTTCCGGATTTCCCCAACCAGGGGAAGATAGCAAGTACTCGGAGTTGATAGAGGCGGGGAATTTGGTAGAGGCGGGGAAGTTGTATGATTTTCGGGTTTTGCAGACTAGGCTTGAGAATACTCTGGATAATTGTTGGGCTCAGCGCGAAGAGAATGTTCGTCTGAGGGTGGAGGCTATGTCAAGAGAACAGGACTGTGCACATCTTCAAGAACTGCTGGGAGAAGTCAAGGCCGAACTGTCCGATGTACAAGGCAATAACAGCATGCTCACATGTACCATTAGTGATCTACAGGGTGCGCGCGATCTCAAGATGAGACAGTTAACCGAGATCACGGCCGAATTGTCAGATGTGCGAGGCAACAATAACAGTCTCAAGGACGCCAATGAAGAGATGCGCAAGGAGGTCTATGACAAGCAGAAACAGCTGAACGATATCACAGCCGAACTGTCAAATGTACGGTGCGCCAATGAAAGAATCAGAAACATCAATGAAGAGATGCGCAAAGAGATAAATGGCAAGCAGGAACAGATCGAATCTATCACTTCTCAACTTGCTAGCGTGTTGGCAGACTTGGACAGTACTACGAAAGAATTATCAGTCGCTTGTGAAATGAAAGGACAAGTCCAGAATGATCTTCACGCGGCACTCGAGGAAATCAGCAATCTCCAAGCCCAGCTTACTGAGATTCAAATACAGCAGTCCACTACAATCTGGTGCAAGATCAAGCGTTGGATTCGAGAGAAAGCTTCATGGTTATCTCGTGATAGACGAAGACGTGGAATACAGGATGAAGACGAAGAGGTTGCACTTGCTCCTGTGAAACCCAGTAATCTTGCTTGAGTGATGTCTATACATATTTAGGGCATATGCTATTTTGATATGAAGCTCTGCTCTTTATTCAGCATTTGTTACCAACTTATTGTACTAATTAACCAATCAATAACGCTAATCCAGAAGGACAGACTCAACCTGCAGCACGTAGTTCTTTTGCTGCTTCACCGAATCATTTCACATGACATGACGCACTGCTTACTTTCTTCAACCACCAGAGCCTTGCACCGCCCCATTGAAGATCTCCAGATCAGCGTGTGCCCGATGCGCATGCTTTCTAGATGATCCGACGCAGCTGTACAGCCAAGAAAAGACGCGAATGCTAACACGAAGTGTAGAGCATCAGATTAGTTCAATGCAGCAGACCCTTGTCAGACAACAATCCACGAATTATGACACAGAGTACTAATATGGTCGATCTTCACAGTAACCCTAAGCATATGACGAAGCTTCATTACGTACAATGCCTCACTTATCTTGGTTCTAGGGCAATCATTCGTACTGACAATTACCTCAATGACGACTACTCGGTCTGATTAGCTTGGGAATCTCCCTCAATTTCTTCTTACTACTCAGATACCTCAATAAATCTATTTAAAGCAGCAGAAAAATTCTACAACATCCACTCAGTGGAGTGGAGATTTATCTCTCGAGCCGGGAGTTGACGGATAACGTCGTAGCGAAGGGATCAGTTTCCACAGGGACCAGATCCACCGCAAACCCTTTGTACACCCTGAATTGGGGCCGATTGCGAAAGATAACATACAAATTTGTGCTATGCTAACAATGCCTTTATTGATTGTGCACAGTAAGCGAAGGAAAACGGTGCTGCCTGGGTGGGTAAGCAGTGATGGATAATATGATGTGGGCCGGGGTCTGATGTCCACTTAGTCCAGCTTACCCTGCATAGCCCACGTTTTTGTAAGAATAGATGGGATCTACGATGTGAACTTACAGTAGATGATATTATGTATAATGGAAAGTGATCACGGGGTTACTGTTGGTACTCAGAATGGGTTTAGACGGCATGTGTGCTTCATAATCTTCGCCTGTTTCTTTTTCTTGTATCTGACATGGTCCCTTGCAGGGATCTTGCTGGGTGAATGTTTGCAATTGGGTCAGATAAAGAACTCTTGGGATATGAAGTCAATACTACGCGGATTCGTATCAAATGTCTGATAGGCATACTTGATTAATGTAATTAGACCCAAGAGCTGTAGCTTATAATACACCGCTACTAGCTGACAAAGAATTATCGTTGATATAACCAATTTTGTATTTCCAATATCCATAGTCTCTCCGGTCAGAGACCGTATCCGGCACCCGGTTAAGTATCAAAAGAAGGAATGGTCATGTCTTAAACTAAAGGGAATAAAAATCAATAAATAGAACATAACGGGTCCATTAATCATGTTCGCGTTGCCGGATGCGATCGCTACGTCTGACGAGCTTAGCAGACCGTGATGTACAGACCGAGACTAGATTTTCAGTTAGCAGTAGTTCACAGATGATGACATGTGATACACTTACGGAGAGGGGTTGTAGTCCTCAAAGAAGTTGAGGTAGGTGCTACCAGCCTCCTTCATCTCGTAGCTGACAGTCTGGCCAGCCGGGCAAGAGAAAGTGGAGATCAGGTAAGAGTTGCCAGGCGAGAGGGTGAAGTCGCCGTAGTCCTGCTTGACTCCAGGAGCGTTGTTGTAGGTCGTCGACTCGCTAGCAGCAGACTCGAGCTGGGAGAAGTCAACCTTGCCGTCTCCGCTGAAAGTGTAGTCGGAGGTCTCGAGCTGATCCTTGGTAGGGAACAGGAAGATCAGACTGCAGGTCTTTCCAGAGTCCGAAGAGGGGATGTCGAAGTTGAAGATGGTCGAGACAGTGGAGGAGACGGTGCCGAAGTACTGAGTACCATAGGCGGTGTCGGGAGTGGAAGAGTTGATCGGGACGATCAGGTGAGGGTACTCATAGTCGCCAGAAAGATCAGTGGGGCAGCTGGCAGAGGAAGACTGAGTGGCCGTGCCAGAAGGCTGAGCGCTGCTGGGAGACGCGGAGGTCTGGGGGTAAGAGGGAGTGCCAGACGGCTGGGGAGCAGGAGTTCCAGAGGTCTGGGGGTAGGAGGAAGGCTGAGGGGCGGGAGTGCCAGAGGTTTCGGGGTAAGAGCTCTCAGAAGGCTGAGGAGCCGGAGATCCGGAGGGCTGAGGAGCAGGAGTCTCAGAAGGCTGGGGGGCCGGGGTCTCCGAGGACTGGGGGTATGAAGGAGTCTCCGAAGGCTGAGGAGCAGGGCTCTCGGACGATTGAGGGTAGGATGGAGTCTCGGATGGCTGAGGAGCAGGGGATCCGGAGGGCGCCGGCTGGGAACCAGCGGGAGCAGAAGACCCAGGTCCAACGGGAACCAGCGGGACAGTAGTCTCTCCAGGAACAGAAACCACAGGAGTAGACTCAGCGCCACAGTAGGTTTCGGTCACATAGACGGTCGTCACCTGCACGGCGCCGCTCGACTGGGGACCAGGACCGTAGGGCACTGAAGCACTAGAGGCAGGGCCACCAGGAACCCAGCCAGTCGATTGGCCAGCGCCAGGAACTCCCGGAGCACTGGAGGCAGGGCCACCGGGTACCCAGCTAGTCGACGCACCAGCGCCAGGGACACCTGGAGCGCTGGAAGACGGAGCCGGAGCCGGCTGGCTGGACTGAGGGGCGGGGGTCGAAGCCGGAGCAGAACTGGAGCCAACAGAGCCAGCACCCGAGCCCGAGCAGGAATCAGCCGTCAACTTGATGTTCTCGCAGCCAGTGACGGAGGAGTTCTCAGTGGTGTAAAGGTTCAGTTCATTGTTGTCGCCAGTTTGGCAGGCAACAAAATCGGCGTCACCGTTGTACTCCAGCTCACCAGAGGAGGTGATGGAGAAACCCGACATAGGAGATTTACCCAAGTCACACTGGAACTGTGTGGTCTCGCCTGTCAGGGATGTGTGGTTAGTAACATACCCGGTATAATTCATATGTGGATAGCTTACTAGTCACAACACAACCGCGTCCGCTGCTGTCAGTGATGCCACCGTTGGAGTCAATGCAGAACTGGGTTGCGGGAAGCCCACCACCGATGCGGTTCTGACCATCACCCAGCTGGCCAATGGTGCCAGAAGCATCACCAGAAGCTGTCAGGTGGAAGCAGCAAGAGTCGCTCCGGCCAACAAGGGCATTAGCCCCAGCAGCGAAGGCTGCAAGGGTCGCAACGTTCTTCATACTTGCAAAAGCGAAAGTAGGCGACAGCTAGAAAGCAAGCGAACGGATTGGGGGCGATGTGAGAATAAAGATTGTTTTTGGAAGGGTTATTGGCCGGGGTAAGCTAACAAGCAAGCCGAAAAACCCAGGGTACGCTCAATATTTATAAACTATAGTGGGTACATAAAAGGCACGTCATGGGCAATTGCCGGTGGTAAACCGGACAGAGTCAACACGCACACCTCCACAGCACAGCAGTTCGAAAAAATAGAAACAGACATTCAGCCAGTTGCATTGCTTCTGCTGGACTGGCAGTTGACCATGGAAAAGAAACATGGAGGGCCACCGTTGATCCCGCTAGGCACCACCGGACAGCGAATAAACAAGCTGCAAGTTGTCCGACAACGCCGGGCCTGGAAGCTTCGGGATTGAAGGAGCAATGAAAGCAGACGTCATGAGCATTGGGCCTTGTGGAGGGGGGAATTCTATGAAAAACACCCGATCTGGAAGTTGGCTGTGAGATAGAAGCGGTATCAGTGGCTCGGGCGATGCAGGGCACAAGCCAACTGTGGACCCAGCCCCATCGAGCAGCCTTTGGATCGGCCGGGAACCCTGCCCTGGTCAAGACCTTCCGGACTCATGGACTCAGGCGGGTTATTGCGAGTCCGGTGGCGAGATGGCAATGCCACCCACGGTACAACACGCCATTCAGCCATACATAGCGAGCATTGTTGTTATCCATACAAGGAACATGGGTAGGACACCCACGGGCCTGCTTCTATTCATAATCGCTCACAGCGGAAAACCGGGAACGCAAGGTAAGCGACAATGCTCTATGCTCTATGCTCGACATAAGCAATCAATCCTAAGTGCAAGTATCAAGCATAGTCCGCGTAAGTCGGGAGGGATGTGGAGGGGGAGCTATAGCCACCATCACGGCCTAACAACAGGGAAGGATGGGAATCCTGGGATTAACCGGGGAAGGGTGCCTTGCATTATGCTCAGAAGGGTTTGGACTCGAAGCATATACGACATGCAGTGCGGAGTAGGGGGATACAGTTGACGTTGACTCTTGCCTTGGATGTGTTGCTTAGGAACTCGGTGAGCAGCTTTTGGATCTCGCTTGGGAAGCAGCATAGCCCGCGTAGTAGCAGTACAGCGAGCGACTGCATGTCATGATGGAATAATCCTTGGCATGGTGGATTATTGATGAGTTGATTATTCGATGAGAATAGTCATTAGAATGGATATGAGGGACTATCATTCTACTCTTTGGGAAGGTCGGAGAAACCCGGCAGAACCCAGTCCACCCGGATCAATAGTAAACCCGTGTTCCGCAGGTGGGGGATGACGCCAGCCTCGCTGGACTTCCTCCATCCAGCTTCCATGAGGCTTCCAGGATCCATCGTCCTATTCCTTCTCTCGTCTGCCGGCAATACACCACCCGAGCCACTGCGCCACGTCATGGGGTATTCTTACTGACCCTATGCCTGGCTCGCTGCCTTTCCCTCCCGAAAAAGCAGAGCGGAAAAAGAAACTGAATATGAACCAAAGACCGGTTCTAGGCAACCCTGAACGATAACCAATCTGCCTCCATGGGACAATGGTAGCAGCCATGGTTGCCTAAGTGTTTACCCAAACGATAATGATCAATTGTGTCAACAAACGATACACAAACAGATATACTATGAGCCGTACATATATAGAAACAACCCGGTCAACGGCAACACAATCCCAGGATTCCGGCCTGACCAGCCTCGTGTCATTGGCGTCCATCTGACAGGTGGGCAACGCAGCCCTGTTGGCCGCCAGTGCCCTATAAGCTTCGCCGGCATCTGGATGGCTGCGCGATCGATTTCAATCTATACTCTTTTAGCCATTTTCAATATTACTTTCCTATATTATTATTCTCCATTACATCTCCGGAACACGATTAGATTCTCCGTCGCGCTTCTGCAGTGCGTCGTAAGTAAACCCGCCCCATCCTGGCTCCATGCTTATCTCCCCACCTCAGCATTTCTCAATCTCTTGAACATCGAACTCTGGTTCGAACCATATAACCAGTCCATCCTGAAACACGACTTCTCAGTCAAAGCAGTCCCATTGGGCCTCCAGGGGTTCCCTATCACATTTCACTCTCACTCTCTCCCTATCCACGATCCTCAAAATTCCAGTCTCATCAAAATCAAAAGCAAAGCCGTTGAGAACGGGGCACTTTGCAGACCAAATCCCCGCACTGCACTCTGTAGAAGCTTACGTACACCCTCACCTAACAACGGTCAATCAAGGTCTAGACAGTTGGCTGAAATCCACCTAAACTCTGATCCCTCTCTACTCTGTTAAGTGAGTTATGTGCTGGCCCACCATCCATGTGTCCAGGATGGGCAAACAAGTGGGTTATCCCTCGACCTGTTCGATTCCAGACCTTTACAGTAAACCAGCAGCACAATGCTCCGAACAATGGACACATCCACAATTCGAATTTTCCACAATTTTCTTCTCCTCTCTCTCTAGCCTTCATTCAATCAAGGATCGGTCCGACGGACGGACGGACGGATTAATGCTTATGCAAAGCATTCTGTAAACGATCCAGATGACAAGACACAGATGGATGCCTGCAGGACTCGCAAAATTTTGATTTCGTCGGACATGCCGGGGTTGGACAACAAACAACCCCAACATAGCATCAGTTAAACCAGTTAACAATCAATTAGTGATTCCCTTGACTAACAATAATGTAATGCGCACGTCCACCAGTGTCTCACACTATCCAAGCTGGTTGAGTTGAACTAGAGCTGTCAGAATCAAGTACAGCACAGCGTTTCCATGTCGATCTTCATTTTAAAATCCAGCTGCCCAGTCTTGACCTCATCGAGTCCCTAAGCAACCGGCGATCAATCAGGCAGCCCAGATCGACTCCGAAATTATAATGTAATAGAGCAGTTTCCTTTTCCTGGGCCAGTCAGCCAGATAGCCAATGCGTATCTGACGTAAATAAATACATAAATAACTACTTCATCAAGTAATCGATGCTGATTACTCAAATGCCTAGGATCTTCGTGCGGTCTGTCCCGATAAATATTGAACTAAAGCAACCCAACCATCAATGATCTGTTTATGATGTAAACATCATCATGATGCTGTGAAACTCTGCTGCGTCTTTTACCTAGCGGGGTAGGGGAAAGATGGAGCTCGATCAATGTTCACATGTTGAATCTGAGATGGATGGATGCACATTGCTTGTAAAGTCACATAGATGAACCACTGGTTCACACTTGTGGCTGGCAGTCTCCGTGCTTGTTGACTTGGATATCAGGTAGTATCTGGGTATCATTGATAGATGCTTAACTGCGGAGAAGAAGCGCTTATTTATACCCCATCCCATGGAAACTGGACATAATGCAGGAATCTTATCGTTATCCAGGTACATGGTTCACATTGGACCTAGACTATTGCCACAACCACTATTACAGAGAGTTTGAGAAGGTTTTATGGTATATATATGTGTAGTATGTCGAGGGTGAAACGTAACCATGTCTCCATCTGTAACTGGCCGTAAGTACTCAACTGAGCCCAATACACCCAGTAACGGAAGCACAGTCAGAGAGCCCTATTCTTCATTCTTGGACTTCAAACTTTGAATGACTATACCATGGGAAAGCGGTATAGTCATGCCAAGGTAGAGACTACCTTGGTTTCGGTCCTTTCTACGGCACAATGGGAGAATGAAAATGTCGCAGTATCATGCATCTGTGCATCGGTATATATTGGGTATCTGTTTGGGTTTCGTTCTATCTGAGTCTTACCTCATGCGGGCAGCCTTGAATCTGCTCACCCGTTTGGGCGCATCCTCAGTCTCAATTGGCACAATTTCCGGCTCCTCGCCTACGAAGCCACCATTTTGCTGGATCATGCGGTTCCGAATCTTGTAGAACTCTGTTGCAATCTCCTTCTTATGCAGCTGCTCGTCGAGCTCATCGGGCTCTGGTGCTACTACTGGACCTGCTGGGGTCTCCCGTTCAACGAGCGTATCGGCAAGAATCTTCCCCTCGGGGCCCCTGGGTGTAGGGTCTTCTTGCTCCACGATGTCGGAGATAGGCTGGGAGAAGGGCTTGGGTTCCGCTGGTTTCGCAGGGAACAGAGGTAGAGATGGCCCAGTGGTAGATGTCTCAGTCTTGCGTAGAGCCGAGCGAGGTTCGGCAGGTCGAGAAGTGTTGCTAGGTTGGGTTGTTGACGCAGTGGCGTCTTCAGTTGCGTTGTTGGTTTTCCGGGCACTCTTGAACCGGGATACTTTCTTCGGGGCATCACTCTGCACAGATTCTTTCCGAGCAGGTTCTGTGCGTTCAACAACAGCATCCTGAAGAACAGGCACGTTAGACTCTCGGACCGGAGCGACCTTCTTCTCCACAACCGGAGGCTTGGAAGCCGGAGCGATGTCGAGTTCGTCAGCAAAAGCAACCTTCTTCTTCGGTTTCTTCTCTTTGACTGGCTCGCTACTCGTGTCTGCCTTATTCTCGACACGAACAACACTGGGCTGATCTAGGTCCTGCTTGATTTCGTTCGGGAGCGTTTGCGTGTCTTTTCCGGCATTCCACATTCCCCGAGCATTGAGCTTTTCCTCCAGCTCGCGCATCTGACGGTGATAGTCTTCGCTCAAAACACGCCTAGTGCTCCTTCCGTATTCGTCCTCCTCTTCATCTTCGTCATCGTCATAATCATAAGCATCATAGTCCTCATCGACGGAAATATCACTTGCGTCTTCGTCCAACTCAAGCTCCGCCACGACAGACCCGACTTCGTTCAGACTATACTGGAGCATCTCACGGCGTAATTTAGCATCCTCCGGAGACTCGTCGACTTCCATAACAGGACGCTCGCCATGAATTTCGACGGTCGGGTCTAACGCAGAGCTTGTCTCCTTGGCATCGCTTCCCAAAGACTTGGCGGAGGGCTCCTCGCTGGTGGATTTATCGTCTTTATCAAGACTATCTGCGGAAGACGCCTCCTCCGTAGTCTGAGTGACTTGCTGAGACGAGCTCGATACTGGCGTATCGGCCTTAGCCACATCAGGTATATCCTTCACACCAGCCTTCTTCAAAACCTCCAAAAGATCGGTTG